TGAGGCCTTTGACTTGTGGTGCTGGAGGAGACTCCTGCGAGACCCTTGGACTGCAAGGCAATCAAACCAGTCAGTCCTAGAGGAGATCAACCCTGAAGGCCAGATCCTGAAGATGAAACTCAAATACTTTGGCCACCTAATGAGAAGGAAGGACTCCCTGGAGAAGACCCTGATGCTGGGAACAATAGATGACAAAAGAAGAAGGGGATGGCAGAGAATGAGGTGGCTGGATGGAGTCACTGGGGCAGTTGGTGTGAGCTTGAGTGGACTCCAGGGGATGGTGGAGGACAGGAAGGCCTGGAGGAATGTTGTCCATGGGGTCGCGATGGGTCGGACACGACTTTGCGACTAACAACATGTTTCAGAAAGGAATTTCCGTCCTCACAGGTCACTCATCTGGTGCATTTTTTCCTCTGGAGCAGGTTAAGAGAGGAGAAGCCGAGGAAGGCTGTTCTGAAAAGTATTTGGACAAAGAGAGGGGGTTCCTGAGGAAGGGAAGTGCTTTCTGAAATGTGTTGGGCATAATAAAGGCTTTTCCAGGCAGTTGCGAAGAGCTTCTCTTGGCAAAACTCCTTAAAATGAATGGTGCTCTTGCCCAGGCAATGAGTTACCTGTCCTTGCCCATTTGATCTTGCCTGAGAAGGTAGAACTGCTCCATCACTTCTGCGGCATATTTGTATATTTTCAGGACAGAAGCTCTCCACTATTTGCCCTGGGGAACTAGGGCTAAATATGCAAATAAGTTTGGGGAAGTTATTCAAATTACAGTGGAGAGGCAGGGGTTGTACACTACTAGTTCCCTTTGTAGCGCAGGTTATAAAGCAAAACCTGTTTCCAGACTGCATTCACTGGGAATACCAAGCTGTAGCCATAATGAAGGGGCTGGTTCTGGTGCTAACCTTAGCACTGGTTGCGAGCAAAATCGCTCCACTCTATGGTAAGTAGCTTTCATTTTGTTCCAGCTTTGTTCCAGTTCTGGACCTAACGTCATGCAGGGTTAGCCAGAGTTGAACCCCGGTAGCTCCTAACTAATGACAAACTAGTGCCTCTGAGCATGTGTCCCAGCACCTGCTTGTTCGGGGTTAGGTGGCGAAGCTTTGGAGAGCTGACTTTTCATGGCAATCTTGCTTTCCCAGGCTCTTAAAATAGTGTTCCTGTTACTGTGTGAAGTGTTTGAGGACAATCTGCTGCTTAAATACACAACACACACCTTGGAGAGCCATCATGTCTCTGCAAATTTTAGGGATGCCCCCGCCCCCAGTATTGATTAGGGTGCTATATTAGGACTGGAGAGGTCTGGATCCAGCTCCTGATTACCATGCAGTTCCTTGGATGCCCCTGAACTAGCAGTCATTGTTTAGCTTAAAATCCTTAGAAAAACGGAGCCAGAGACAAAATTTTGTCCCAAGTTACTTTACAGGATCACTGAAGGTAGAACCACATATATCACTCAAAACTCTTTTGAGAAAGGATGGGATTTGAATTTGTAAACATGGTGGTGGAGATACCTTAAGTAACACCACTGAATGTTTTCCTGGTTTTTGATTGTAGGGCTTGCTATGGAAACCTTCTTGGTTCATATGGAAAGATGCAAGTGCTTGGTTGAGACCACTCTGCACCTGAATCCTCTCTGGATTAGATCCATCCAAGTCATCCAGGAAAGGATACTTTGCCGAAGGACAGAGGTCATGTGAGTGAGTCCAGCGTCCTTCTATACTTTGTGCAAAACCCTTGAGAAGCATAAGGGGAAAGACTAATTAACTCATCTTTGTGTTTCAGATTAACCCTCAGAAACGGTAAAAGGTTGTGTGTTCCTCCTAAGGCTAAGTGGGTGGAGAACTTGATTAAGAATGTTACAAAAAGGTACTTACTGTCTTACATAGTTATTTAGAGAAATAAACGTCTTTCCTACCTTTTCTTTTTTAAAGAGAAATAAGGGATTGTCCCATAATTTACAAGATAAACTGTGGTCACCTCTATCTAAATGTAGGAGTTATTTTCTATAGTCCAAATTGGATTTTGTGTTGCTGGTGAGCAGACATGTGCTCTGGGGAGTCTCAGGTCATTGTTTTCAGTACCAAAACTCAGCTCATCACTCTTTTGCATGAAACACCAGTGATTCGCTGCCACCTCAAAGGTTTCTTGATTTCAGAGTCTTATCTGGGGTTTTGGTTTTTGTAGGGTAGAAGCCGTATTGCAGAAAGCTATCTAGGGTTTCCAATACAACTGCTTCATTGTGAACTTCTGTTCCTGTTTCATAGTACTTCCACTGAAAGCACCTATGACCATATTACCTTTACTCTGAAGAGCTTCAAAGGCAAGAATAACGGCTTGTGTAGTAGTATTTAACTAGTTTCCTTTTCACTAATTACAGAAAATACAAGTAAATGGCCCCAGATGGACTTGAGAAATGCCAGGAAAATACAAGAGAAATGAAAAGAACTTCTGAAATCATCTAATCCAGCCATCAGCTTTATCTTTGCACCTTTTCATTGTATGTACTCAAGCTGCCTTTTGGAGCTCTGAACCGTTCAGAGAAGGACAGTGGACAGAGTGACTAAACTTTTTGGACTAAAGCAAAAGGCATATACATTTGTCCTAAGGGAGCCTACAATGTCTAGACAAATCAATTAAGCAACGATTCTAAACATCTACTGTATGAGTTTTAAATTACCTCCACAAGGACCTCACCCAAAGGTGCCAGGTTATGCTCTACTCAAGTTAACTAATTAATCTGATATTAAATATCTGCAGAAAGATTTCCTTTTCTCCTTCCTTCCTTCCTTCTTGTTGGCGGCAGGCAAGTTTCTGCCCAGAAGCGGGGAGGTAGAAGAATTCTTAATCTGAATTATTGGTATGGGAAAATGTGGAACTTGACTTTATTGGAGAAATGTGTCCTGCAAGTTAGAGATCTGAAAGACCATCTAGATATTGATACATTTGAACATACTTGTTACCATTCAGCAAATTGATTTATAGAGAAGGAGGTGGAATGTGCTCTGTCCTGATGTTACAAGCAGCAAATGGACAAGCTTACTTGGAAAGTGAGATTTTCTGAGAGCTTTTTCACTCTAAGACCTTTCCTTTTTTGGAAAACAGCTTGTTTCCTGGAATACTTAGTAGCAATGACATATGTTTATGTACTTATCCAGTTTGTATTTGGTCATGTTAAACTATTTGCATACTACTGGGTTTAGAATATTTAATAAAATAAAGTTTTAAAAAGAAAGCTAATCCTGCCATGCAGGAACTCTGAAACTGGGTCCAGAGGGTACAATAGGCCCTCAACAGTAAGATTTCACCATGGCTCCTCTTACCGCATGAGCACAATCAATGAGTTAATTATATTTCAGAATGCATCCTTTTCCTCACAGCATACACCAGGTATGGAACCTTGTGAATGGTAGAACCTTCTTCGGCAAGTCATGTTGAGGGGGGTGGGTTTGCCAGTTGAAGAACAATTGGGGGGCCAACAGCTGTGGCTCTGCTCCCCGACTTTGGCAATGGACCCTTCCTTTGGGTCCCTCGGCTGCTCCTTACAGTAGTATCCTTTAGCCTTGGATTGTGCACAGTGGGAGGATATATTTGGGAGAAACAGTCCTCTCCAACTGCTGCCTGCATGGAAGGAGAAAGGCTCAATAACACTTTGATGGCGCATCAAGCTGGAGAGGACGTGAGAGACTTTCCCTTGCTGAAGACTAATTGAAGAGAACAGGAGGAGGGTAGGTTGGCCCATGGTTGTCCAACTGGATTTCCAGGTGCTGCTGCTTCAACAGTTAAGTATCAAATGCTGCATTTGCTGCACGTTCAATTTTGCATTTAACATTGTATTTAAGACACTTTTTTTTTTAGCATGGGGGGATACTCAAGATTGGGACCCTGGCACACAAGGATGTCTTTTTTGGAAAAAAAAATCTCTTTTCGTTTACATTGCAATCTCAAATAAAAACATCCCCACGATCCCTATTATTATTATTATTATTATTATTATTATTATTATTACATTTCTATGC